TAAAAATGTATGCATATAAAACTAAATAATATTCCATGGTTAAGAAAATATAGCAATATTTAAATTTTTAGGGTTTAAAAATGATCGTACAGCAGAACAAAAACATGTTTTCTCCATTTAATATTTTGTAGCAAAATAAAGTTTATTAAGTTCAACAGCAACCAATCTCTTCCTGTAGTCTTTAATTAATGATTCGCATACTTTAGTAGGTATTTTGTCCCATTCTTCCTGAGTAATTATCTTCAGGTTTTTGATGTTTGTTGGACCTCTATCACGGATCTTATTTTTCAAAAACCGCCATAAATTCTCTATTGGATTCGAATCCGGCAACTGACTGGGCCATTGTAAGATGTTAACGTTGTTATTAGCAAGCCAATTCTTCATACTCTTAGCAGTATACTTGGGATCATTGTCCTACTGGAAGATCCAATCAGGCGGAAGCCCAAGATTCTCTACAGAAAGTGATAAATTTTCACTTAGGATTTGTTGATATTTTTCTGCATTCATTCTACCATCTATAATTGCTAGTTTGCCAACACCTTGCATCGAAAAGCAGCCCCAAACCATGATACTACCCCCACCAAATTTGACAGTTGGTATGGTGTTCTTGGGTGCGTATGCTTCACTGTCTTTCCTCCATATATGATTCAGGGAATTGTGACCAAACAACTCAATTTTACTCTCATCTGTCCAAAGAACTCTTTCCCAATAAGAATTTTCCTTATCTTTATGCTCTGTTGCAAATTTCAACATGGCATCTCTATACCATTTCAGAAGGAGTAGTGTCTTTCTTGGGGAGCGCAACTTTATACTGCCTCTGTGTAGTTCATTACTTATTGTTTGCTTAGTTACGTTAACTCTTGACAAACTCAGATCATTCTGAAGGTCTTGTCTGATGGCCATTGGGTTATTCTGGATCTGTCGCATCAACTTTCTTCATAATCTGGGAGAGATCTTCCTGAGAGCACCGGTTCTGCCTTTGTTCTCAACAGTATTATGTCTTTTAAATCTTGCAATAAATGAACCAATTGTTGAAAAAGGTATGTTTGTGTCACTGGAGATGTTTCTGTCACTTTTTCCATTGTTCCATAGCTTAAGGATTAGCTCTTTTTGAGCATAAGTCATTTCCTTACATCTAGCCATTATTAGAACCATTATCAGTGAACAGTGACTGCAGAATGATCCAATTTTGAACTGAATGTTGCAATAGAGTTACTGAGAATATTCTAGAACAGTTTAGAATCTTCTACTTTGAAGTACAACCAAAATCTACCGTATTATAATGCAAAAATTGATACTGTACGAACACTTTTTTCCACTATTCGAAATATAAAAATTTGCATAACTATCACTTATCGATGAATTTCTAATTTTAAATTGCAGATTCTGATTCTATGCCCCAAAATACATATATAACATTGTTATTCGAGGTTTTCATTCGCTATAAGTGAGAATAACAAGCATTTGTTTGCTGTAAGATCACTTATTCAACCCCTAAAATAGATTGATAAACTTTTCAAAAATGGATTTTTAAAAACAAAAGAAATATCTATGTTTGATATTTATAAATATAAATTATTTATATTTAATGGCAAGGTGTTTCCAAAAGCCCATTACAATCTTGTTTTTTTATAAAAGCACATTTTGTTACCCTTTGGTGTTCAATGCTTTATTTGCTTTAAAAACATTTTAAAAAATAGATTTACAAAAATAAAATTACTATTTTAGAACAAATAAAAATTGTGTATATATATATATATATATATATATATATATATATAATAAAAAATTATATGAATTCATAGTTATTTATGAAATAATTATTATCTAAATTTGCATTGAAATTTTAACTTGGTAAATTTCAACTTTATTTTATAACTATTTTTTATAAAAGAATGGAAGATTTTATTTATTTTAAAAAAAGTTTTAAAAATTTCTAGTTTTTTATTGTTTGTCAGGAAAAAATAAAATAAGAGAAAAAATTTGAAAAAAACATTTTATTTTAGATGATTTACTCATAATCTTTAGCTTGATTATTATTTTATTTATTTATTATATATTTCATTACATTGATGATTTAAAATGAGAGTCTTGTTTCTATTCCACACTGTGTGCATCTACAAATGCTTTTAGTTATTAATGCTTAATTTTATTTTCCAACAGCAAAGGCAAAAACACATCAGAAATTTGTTAACATTAAATGCTAAAATTTATGGCAAATTAAAAAAGAATTAATTCTTCATTACTTTTTGAAAGGATTTTTTTTAATTTTCTTTAAAAAAACTTTGATTTGTAAAGGTTTAGATTAATTCTGGCACATTTGTTGCATATGCTAACAAAAACATTTGAGAATTTATTTGTCCAAGAAAAATACTTTAAAATGTTTTCAAAATTATAGAAATCATGCAATTTATCTGGAATATTTAGAAACTGAGACTGAAAATGATCAATAAATGTTTAACAATTAAACAAATTAATATATTTCAGCATATAGTTTTCTATAATAAAGGATATGTGATTTAAAGTAAAAGTAAAAATGCAATAGCTGACAAGTTAGTAAGACTCTGTATTCTTGTGATTGCAGTAGACAGAATAAAAGAATCATTCAGAATAAGCCCAATGAGTATTTTAAAAAGACAGCATATAATTTGAAAGTAGAAAACAAATTTATTGCAAAAGTAATAGAAGACATTCTTTATTCTTGAAATATTTCCAAGTTCAAAAGAAATATGTCACTTCATCAAATAAAATGCCTTCATTAGCAAATTCCTCAATATTTACAAACATTTGCAGGTTTGAATTTTATTTTGTTGCAAAAGAATATATAAGAAAAACATTATTATGAAACATTTTCTCAGAAATACCAATACATTTATTACATCTTTAGTTGAAAGAAGAATAAAAATCATTTCTATTTACATTTTTAGAAATATAAAAATTAATTCTGTTTAATATTCTCTGAAGTTTTGCATTTTATGATCTCAGAATGCTTGTATCCTTTGTTTGGGTGCCATTATATTTATGATTTTCAAAGACTACAGTACCTTTGCAGGATATTCTGTATTGACAATTATTAAGTAATGAAACTGGCATTTTATGCTTCTTATGAACCAAGAGACATGACAGATGCATCTGTGTGTCTATTCATTTAAGATGATTTGTTGATATCATGATCTAATGAAAATTTTGGATAAACACCATTTTAAAAATGGAGAAAATTTTTCAGAAAAAGAACAAGTATTGCTCATGAAGGACAAATTTTATTAACAAGTAATTGGAAATTTGAAAGATCCCCAAGTCACATGTCAGGGAACATCTGTTAATCTATTGATTTATAGATATTAATTGATTGTGTTTATAGTATGACTTTTTTTATTTTTATTCAATATCATTTTAACAAAATTGCACATTCTATGATATTCAAATTTTTTGAGTTATTTCAAAATAAAAATTAAATATAAAACTATATTAACATCAATCATAAAATGAAATTTAAAAATTCAAAACATTCCATTTACTCTGATTCCTGTGTTCATATATAAATGAGTTGAACTTATGTAAATTCAATTGATGTAAAAAAAAAAAAATGTTTATTTTACATTTTATTTTTTCTTCTCTGTATATATATATATATATATATATATATATATATATATAAATATATCAAATGGTTTTATATAAATATTTATGCATAAAAATGTTGATATGTTTTAATATGCTTTCCCCAATTATATTAGAATTGTACACTTGAAAAATTTGATTTTTTGCAATTTTTTTTTTCTTCTTCATTAATAAAAAAATAATAAAACAAATGCAGTAATTTTATTTAATTGCAAGTGAATAAAAGCAGATGTATGTAATGATTTCCCCAAATTCCCCAGATGAACGCTTTAGATACTTAACACTGTCACAGACTTCGTTGATACCATGACTGCTTGGTTCTCAAGTACACTCAGTCAGTAATTAAACCAGGAAACAAAAGATGAAGAGATGAGACAAAAAAATGTTTTCCTCAAACAATGGAAAGATATTTTCAGAGAGACAGTTCTTTGTCTGTTTACAAGGCTTTTAAAATCATATTTTGGGATTTTTCAGCAATATTCAAATGAAGAGGAGGAAATGATTATATTGTTAAAAATTTGCTTTATCATTTTTTATCTTATATGAAATAAATCATTCAATTTTTTTATTATTTATTCTTTTGCAATTATAAAAAGTTTGAATCTGTTATTTACATATGATTTAAGTTAAAAAAAAATTTTTTTTAAAGTTTAATATTCACCTTTGATTGTTAATTTGCATGATAAGTGTATTTATGTTTGTATTTTAGGTATATTAAAATTCAGTGATGAACTGATTTTTATTATCAATGGATTTCTTATCTTATTTCCTTTTCTTCCAGTTTTGCAGCTTGTTTCACCGTCTCTACAGTAGTTTGTATATTGAATGTTTTTATTGGAACAGCAGGATTGAATCATTTTTTGCAAAATTATTTATTCAAATTGTTGCTTTTATTCTTAAAACTTGTAACTAGCTGATACTTTAATCAGTATATATATTGTATCACTTCCTTATATTCCACAGTTGATTGAAGAAGTATCCAATGCTATATGTTTCATTCTAATCATTTATATTCTTTGTAATTTGAAATTAAAACATAAAAGTTAATATATCAATGTTGGTTAGTGCAGTGAGTTTTTGAGGTGAAGAGGGGATGCCAGCTGTTTTCATTTTAGTTGCTTTTTTTTAGCTGCATATCAACACCTCTATGGGTTATTTAATGCTGAAATTTAAATATTTTGTATGTAATTTTATTTATTTTTGTTTTAGATAATAATGCTTTTAGTGATACAAGTCTTACTAATTAACCCATAGCTTGAGGAGAAGAGTTGGATTCATAGATTTCCCAAGGGTATTTGTGTGTAAGTGAATATTGAAATTCATCTCTCCAATTAACAATACTGAGATGTTATTTCATTACACCATATACGCTTTCAAACATACAGCAACTGGAATTCCCAAGTGGTCACCCATCAAGTTACTGACCAGGTTTGATGTTGCTTAACTTCAGTGATCATATGGGAACCAATGTTTCAATATGATATGGCTGTAAGCTGATAATGTTAATTTGATAACATCAACACCACTTAAGCAATACTCACTTTATATTCTTTATTCTATTCAGAGAATCTTGTATGGTCAGTTAATGACAGCACTGTTTACTATTATTTTTAGTGAAGGTAGTTTCATGCTGTACAGTTTTACAATATTGACATCTTATATATAAAGTACAGTGTATATGTGTGCGTTTGTGCATGTGTGTCCCCAAGCAACTCCTCCGTTCCCACTGGTCAATTTCAATGATTCATAGCTCATTCAAAAGCCCAAGAAAAGTTAGGCAGAGGGAACGACTTTTATTGAGCTCAAATTCAGTATTGCCAGATTATACAAGGTTAAAAATATATATTAATATATTATACTAGCCATTATCATTGCTTTCATGTTCAAAAAGAGTAACTATTATTTTCCTTTTGTATCCAAAATTGCAGTGCATTTTTTTATAAACTATTTAAAAATATTCGATTTAATTAATGTGGAGGACTCTTGGTTTGGCCATCATCACAATAGCTAGGGAGGAGTAGATGCAATAGTTCAATAAACTACAGAAGAACTCAAAATTGATCGCTGCATTTAAGTATTGAATTAATGTTTAAGCTTACCCTTTAAAAGTTCAATGATAATTATTTTGCTGCAACTTAATTTAAAGATGACTTGATGTATGTAGATCCTTATTTTCCATACAAGCAATTGTAGAGGATAATTCATACGATAAAATATAGTGTTAAGATGAGAAAATAGACATTAGAATTTGTTATACATTCAACATTTGAAGAGTTAGAAAAACATAATAGCTAATTAAGTAAATCCTGTATATATGAATAAATGCAAAATTGGAGTTCAATTATCACAAAAATTCTGGGATTAAAAATCCCCAGTTCTACATGCTAAAGCTTCAATATCTATATTATATATTATCTACTTCTAGGCAATATTACTCTTCAGGTTTAACTAATTTGCATACTGATTTTAAAATTTATTTCATTAATTAACTGTCCTTCATTACTGTTCTTTTATTCAAGGATTGTTTCGATTTTCATATCAAAAATAGTTCTGTTTAGGAATATCATCTTATATAGTGCAGAAAAGTATTTGAAATTTGCATTTTACTTGGCATTCAACAAGTTGGCATCTATTTATAAAACTTTCCTTAACTATAACAAGTCAAATTGTCAATGAAATGTTCATTTAAAATTTTTGTTTCAAAGATTTCAAGTAGTGAATATATCTTAATTTGTGAAGTGATAGCAAGCAAATGAAGCCTGCTATTAATCTATATTAGCTGAGATGCTACCACAACATTTAAAAAAAATATTGTTACAAAATTAATATACTTATCAATCCCTGTCTTTATTTCCAGAACTTTTTCGGAGTCAGAATGTATTAATACTATAATCTTTAAAAAGGAAAGATTTCTGTCATATATTGACAAATCTTGAGTTAAAGTTGCAAAAATAACTATCAGCAATAATTTGACATCTTTACAAGAACTGCTAGAGAAAACAACCTGAAGTTCTGACATTATGTTAATCAAGAAAATACTGTTAGCTTTTTATGCTGACACCCAGTCAACTAAATCCTCTCATCTGCAAACATTTAAGAATGTACTTTGCAGTGACCATTTTCAGTTTAATATAGATATCTTAATACTTACAAGTAGCTGAGTTAATAGCTCAATGTCATTTTTTCTTATATTTGCAGACATTGTTAATAATAACCTCCATCAAGAATTTCTTGCTCAACTTGATCCTTTTATTGATGCTTTCCTAATCTATTTTGATTGACACTTATTGGACCAAGTGGCCAGTCAGTATTTCTTCTTGAAGGAAGTTCATTGTGGCTTCTTGAATTCTTACCAATTTGCATGATGAGATTTGTCTTTCCAACTTCAGCACTGGTCTTTTTAATAATAGAAACCATTTTTCTTAGATAATTCTAATAAAGATGTTAGAGAAAAATTTGAAAGATTGACTTGACACTTTCAATAAAAATGGGATTTAAAAATGTGTTAATAATAATATACCAGTTGTTAATTTTTAGTAAATAATCCCAGTTTCTTACATAATAATACTGTTTTGGCATTTTTGAATGAACTGTAAAAAATTTGATTTTTTTTCAAAACATCTGGATCTGAAAAGTAGTGCTTATTGATGGTTTTGTAATGGGAGAAAGATATGGTAGACAGATTTATTCACTCATTTGTATTTCCCTCATTATGGGCATTATTACATCTGTGATATAATAACACCATAGTTCACAGATGGAACAGAATGGCTGAAAGGAAAAGGAAAGACAAACATGCTTTGTTCTCAGAGAGACTTTTATACTACTAAGACATATACAAACTAAATATATATATATATATATATATATATACACATATCTCATACGGAGAATATTATAACACATATATCTAAATAGCAAAGCAGAATGTAAGGAGAAACAAAAAGGAAGGGTCTTATATATAATCTGAAGATACTCCTGTGTCTGGAGAAGCCATGTTAGGACTCCAGATTCAAATGGGCCATCAAATGGTCCATCTATGTCCCAGGCAAGGACATATTCCCAAAGTGAGGATTCTGAGCTGGAGTTTCTATATCTGAGCAAGATATATTCCCACAAAGAAATGGCACCATGGGAGGTAGATTAAGCTGCTGGGGTTTTTAAAGGAATTTATGAAACTGTAGGTATCCCTACAGTTTCATAAATTCCTTTAAAAAAATACTAAAAAATTGTTTTTGCAAAAGTCATTTTGAAAGCATTTAACATTCAGTTATATACACTGAATAATATTAATCATATACTTCACATATTAAATGATAATTAGTGTAAACTTTCAAATTATATAAGCAATGCTTTTTTCAGAGAAAGTATGGTTCATTTATAGAGAGGCAAACTTTAAGACGAAAAAGCTATCTTTCTTATTGATCTGTTTTATATTTGTAAAATTTACTTAAGTAGACCAAATATCCACCAATATTTGTTGGGTGATTTTTTGTGGCAGTGTAAAGGTCACGGGATAATTTCAACTCTTAATTAAGGTACATAAGATAATTTCTCCCTTACAATCATTAAACATACCTCAATTATGAAAAGAAAATTCGTAATTTCAAAAATGCTTTATTACTCTCTTCAATTTTGTCCTTGCAAAATTCCTGCTGTTCGAGTGTCATTATCTTTGGTACAAATGAGGACATTGATGTTGACACAGTCATGGCTGTCAGCAAAATGAACAGCCCAACATTCAAATTACAAATTGGAGATACCAAAATAAGACAAATACAAGAATTTAATATTCCGGAAAGGTTTTAACAGAGGGTGGACAGTATGACTCTGAAATATAAAGATTCATTGAGATAGCAAAAGATGCTTTCCAAAAGCTAAGCAAATTATTAATAAACAGGAAAATTTTATTATAAAGAAAAGAGTAATGAACTATTATATAATATCTGTCCTCCTATATAGCAGTGAATGCTGGAAATCTCCTCAGATGTAGATTTGAATCAGCAAAAACTATGTCCACTCTTTAACCAGAATACTCTTCATTTTTAAGGAGTATTTACAGGTGGAATAATGGATAGTGGCTTAGAATGAGAAATCAGATAGCCGTTTTGAATTTCAGTTAGCTTAGTTAGGAAAGGTATGAATGCCGTGTTGGCATCCTAAATTTCCAGAAATCGGTTCTATAAAGGCAAGTAATCTTTATGAACCTAGTTTTCTTATTTTCTTTTTGATCTGAGAATGGAAACAAATCACTTTATAGTATCAAAAAGAATTAAACCAATTTGATAATTTAATAGGAAACATTTATTTATTAAGATATTTCCAGATTGAAATTCTGTTCTCATCATATTTCTATTCAGAAGTAGTATGATGATTTTTGAATCTAGTGTCATCAGCCGTGTTCTGGTTTCTTAACTACATCCGAACTGAATTGCTGCAGTCCCAAAGATCCAATGGAAGACTTGTCAAATTTATAGTTAGAAGATTTACCACATTTTTAACTTCAAAATGATAGGGGGCATGTGTCTATTAGAGTTCCACTAGGCGTGAGTTTAGCATAACTAACATTTTATCTAGACCATTGTCTATTAGTATATGAGATTATTTTCGGATAATCCAACAACCAGTTCACTAAACTTTCATAATTTTAAGAACCTGTTCATGCAAATCAATAGGATGCCACCACTCTATGAATCCATTTCTGGATTTAATAGTAGGAATTCTTTTCAGAAATTGTTAATGCAATATTCACTCTCAAAAAAGATTTCTTACAATCCAAAATATTTAATGTTTCACTTTAACTAATCCCCAAATGGCTGATAGGCCATGGAAAAAAAAAACAAATCAAATCCTTTTTATGAAGTGATTATTCAGTAACCACTGTATAAATCAAGGCTTTTCAAGCTATGAATCCCAAGCCTTTAGTGGGTCAGGAGATAGATAAAATGGGTCATGAAAAAAAGAAAACAAAACAAAACAAAATGCAAAGAAGAGCAAAGTGCAGAATATAAACAAATCTAAATGTTGCACAGCAGTCATAAATCATTGCTAGTTTTTCACCAAGGTCAGCTTGTATTATATTTTCCTTTTTTAAATATAATTATATATATAGTCTGTTCTCATTGATGAACAAGTACATAAAATCAAACTTGTTGTGGATTGAGTGATGTCAGTTCCCTTTCACAAAGAGACCTTGTGCCAAAACCTAGCTACAAAGGTGTGCAGTGTATTCATCTTTGTGGCTGATGAATACCATTGACATTATTTAATAATTCAGTTTCATCTGAAGTCAGGGCTAAAAGTGAATTTTCCAACTCAATGTCAAAGTCAAGTAACTGTACATTTTTTCTGTGGTAGTAAGATGATGTGTTATGTTCATTTGATATCTCAGAATTTTCAGTGAGTTGGTTGTTGTTTTGACAACATTTAAGAATGGGCTAGTTTTTTTAAAAGTAATAATTTTATATTTATATAAATAGATACATGTAATT